GCATCGTCACTGTCCAGAATGCTACCCAAGCTCATGATCTTTCTCTACTTTCGCATATAGATACTACTCCTATCACTATTGAAAAACATCTTTCTCTCAATTCTTGTAGTGGTACTGTCATTTTGCCCCATACCATAGTCCAACAGAATTTCCAGTCATGTGGCAATAACATTTTTGAACAGCTGGAACTCCAGGATCTCCCAATCCTCACAGTAGACACTTATGTCCTTCCTGCCCGTGGGCGGAGACATTAACCTTGCAATGTAGCTCGTTTAACTTTTGACAGCCGAGAACTCCCGTCCTCTGTATATGTCGCGGGACATCGGTTACAAGTTTGAAAGGTGATAACTACACCGCAACAGTGTAGAAATTGCTGGCGTTTTGGTCACCCAGCGAAATATTGCAGATCTATGGCCGAATGCTCAGTCTGTGGTGCTGACAACATTCTAATACATCTTGCAGTCAACCTCCATCTTGCCTTAATTGTAACGAAGCTCACCCTTCGTACTCTCGCTGTTGCCAGGTATATTTAAATGAACGTGAAATCCATTGCCTCAAAGAGGCAGAAGGTCTCCCTTATGCTATGGCAGTTACTCATCTCCGCCTCCAAGGGAGACTACCCCGTGTTTCTTATTCTCGTGTTTCAAAACATCCCCCCCCCCCTTCACTTCTGGGGTCCCATCTTCTGCAGCCTCCTCTGTTGTTAACCCTCCCATAGCCACTCCGGCATCTAATCCTTTTGCTGTCCTTGGCTCTGACGTCCCGACTACAACTCAAGTCTGTTCACATCTTTGCGTCCTTCCTCACAATCCCCAGTATCGACAAGACCTCGTACGACACCTAATACCAATCGCCCCTCTACTTCTCAGAAGTCCAAAAAATCCACGTTGCTCAAATCTTCTTTGCCCCTTCCTTCCCTTCTTCCACCTCCACACTTTACCTTTCCAGTCTCTGTACCTAGTTCTTCCCCTCTCTCTGGCTCTATTAAGAGTGTGGAGATTCACCCTCCTCCTCGTACTATGCCTTCCACTCCCGTCCCCTCCCAAGTTTCTCCCTCTTCTGCCACCTCCCAGGTTTCTGCCTCTTCTGTCCCCCCCCCCCCCCACTTCATCTCCAGTCCCTTACACTCTTCCCTCCCCCTCTACTTTGGTACAGTCCATTACTGTCCCAATCGTTACTCACCCTCCTCCTTCTATCTCCAATATGGTCTCCCATCCATCTTTGAATTCAGAAACACTTGAAGCCATTTCAGAATATATTGCAGAGACTAAACCTTCAATGGACACTGATTCACTTTCTGTTCCTTCTCTTCCCTCTCCATCTTCACAACCCCATTCTTCGCAGCGCTCCGTTCCTTCGCTGCTTGAACGTCTTCCAATGCCACCACACGTTGACTTTTCTAACCCCTCTAGTCCGTAGGTGCCTTTTCCTAAGGATTCCTGGTATTTTCTTCATCGCCAATCATGGCCTATTTACAGTGGAATATCCGCGGCCTCAGGGGTAATCAGGGTGAGCTTCAGATGTTGCTTTCCAGGTTTTCTTCGTTCTACTACTCTCTTTACCTTCCCTTCTTGCTGATGGACCCTCCTTTAATCCTGACTCTCTCATTGATTTCTTGACAACGACTGATTTACTCCACAAACTCTGATACTTTTCGCACTCCCCTCAGCCCTTTCTAGTTCAGTCTCTTGCTGCCCTTTGCCCTTTCACCATCCACTACCCCGCTGTTATCCGTAACCTATTACTTGTCCATCTCCCTTTTGCCACCTGATGCCCTCTTCCTTCCTGCCCTGCAGCGCTGTATAGTCCGTGTGGCTTAGCGCTTCTTTTTGATTATAATATTAATATAATAATTAGGACCCATGGTTAAAGAAAAGAAATTTGGCACAATAACTGCACAAAACACTGGGATTCTAGGCGGACATTGTGGTGTTCGAGCTTGTAACTTTGATTTTCTCGTAACTCGGGGAAAACTCGCAAGTTGGGGCACTTGTAAGTCAAGGTACCACTGTAGTAAGTTTGGAGTTCTCTTGTTTATAACTTTATTGGCAGTTTCTTGGAATCGCTTAATAGAATGAAAGACATATTACAGAGATAATTATGGGTGGTTTCAGGACTGGAAGTAGCTTGAAATTAAGCTCAAAGTAGTGAAAATGTTAAATATTTGCCATTTTTCTCAAGCATCAGTAAGCCCTCCCCCCAGTCTTTCAAGAGTTTTATTAGATTGTATTCAATCGAGACACCGTAAACCATGACCAATAATTCCTTGTTATTTTATTATGTGATAGAGTATCTTCTGTTTGTGTGATTGACTTAAAAATGTAAGGCAAGAGTAATGTAGGAGAGGCCTGGGAATGTGATTAATGGGCAGAAGAAATATTTTAGTTCAGAAATGTTTACATTGAATTGTGATGCGAGATAGCAACATGGCTTTTAAAAGAATGTGCAGAATTGAGCTATCCCCTTCAGAAATTTAAAGATTTAGGCTTTTGTTGACAAATGCTGGAAAGGCCATTAAAGTGTATGAACCACTGTAGGAAGGACTTTCTGACTAGTAATAGGCTTTGTCTGGAAATTCCTATGTTGTATACCTAGTCTATTTAACAGAAATAAATTAAAAGGGAATAATTGGGCAGGTTGTCATTTATAGTTACCCATGAGACTAGAGCACTGTATGACCCTTATGGGTTTGGTGCTTAGTTATGATTATAATAAGAGACTAACTTGGAAACTGCAAATCAAAATGAATGAGGCATAAAGAGGAAAATGTCCTGACTTGCCAAAGGGAATGAAGTTAATTTTTACATATTCAAAGTCTTAATGAAGAAAAATTAAAGCAGTGAAGTAATAGCTGGATGATGGGATTTAATGTAAATAAATGCCATTTCCCTCAAGGAAGGTTCCTTGATGCTGGTGAGGGGACCTTGATCTAGGGAATTGGATCTGTGCTCCAGTTCCCTGAATTAAATCTGAATACCTTCCACATCCCCCCCACAGGCACTGTATAATCCTACAGGTTTAGCACTTCCCCCCCCCCCCTTGATTATTATAATAAATGCCATGGAAATGGTAGAAAGTTATCAGTTCGCATGACGATACTGATTAAAATGTTGGGAGTATGAACCTAGGCATTGACGGTAACTAGACAGCTGTGCAAACAAGTACAGCGGACCCCCGAGTTTCGTGATTAATCCGTTCCAGAGAGGCCGCCGAAGGTCGAAATTCACGAAACTCGAAACCATTTTCCCCATAAGAAATAACGGAAATAAAATTAATCCGTTCCAGACACCCAAAAATGTTTAAATAATTAATTTTTTTTTTGTTTTCTCCAAATTAAATAATTTACATAAAACAATCAGAAATAAAGTACATGCATTTAAAACAAATAATAATATTACACTTGCCTTTTACTGAAGACTTCTGGGTGGATGGAAGATGGGAGGAGGTGATAGGAGGAAGGTGTACACTATTGTTTGGAAGGAGAATCTCCTTCCATTAGGACTTTAGGTAGCAAGTTCTTATCTGGGGTTACTTCCCTTCTTTTAATGCCACTGGGAACAACTTGTCACTGGACCCCTGGCGCACAAAATATCTATCCAGAGAGGTCCCCTCATGGAAGGTTCCTTGATGTTGGTGAGGGGCTCTTGATTTAGGGAATTGGATCTGTGCTCCAGTTCCCCGAATTAAGCCTGAATGCCTTCCACATCCCCGCCCCCCCCCCCCCCCGGGCGCTGTATAATCCTATGGGTTTAGCGCTTCCCCTTTGATTATAATAATAATATCCAGAGAGGTCTTTTTTTTTGGCGTTTCTTTAAGATTTTCCTGAAGTGGGACAAAACTCATTGTACATGTTGCAGATATGGCTTGTTTCAGCTTGGTCAGGGTGATACTTTTCAACAAAACTTTGCAACTCATTCCACACATGTCCTTAATCACTGAAGAAGGCACCTCTTCCTCCTCCTCCTCTGAAGCAAGTTCCTCTGCTGTGGTCTGATGCTGTTCCAGTTGAAGCTCTTGCAGTTCACCAGTGGTTAGCTCTTCCCTGTGGTCCTCCACCAACTCTTCCACATCCCCGTCACTCACTTTATTTACCAAAGGGCTTGCACTAGATTTCCTTGGGTCCATGATGACTTATTTAGCAGTTGCAAGTGCAAAAAACAATGTATTATTATGAAATGTATGAACCCGTGGGGTGATGGTCACGTGTTGGTAAACAATGGCACACTGAGCGTGAATGCCGTGAGAGACTGGCTTTGTGTGCTCAGTGACGGGGGGACGGGTACCTGACGGTCGCTGAAACACTAGTTTTTTCATGAAACGGCCAAATTCCCCCCCCCCAAATTCTAATTTCGCGAAAGTCGAGGCTGCCGAAACTCGGGGGTCCACTGTACTGCTATGCTAGTCATTATAAAATAGCTTTCAAATAAATGTATTTACAATGTATGGATAGACATTTGACCCAACTTAGGTTATAAATATCCTAAATTGGGTGTGATCCGTCTCCTTAAAATTCATAGCTAAGTTTGAGCATCAGAGCTAAAACATAGTTGCTGAAAGAATAATAGGCGGAAACCCTGGAGGTGATTGTGGGCTGATAGAAAACTTTGTAAAGTTATAAAAGGACATGGAAGATAAATTTTAATAGTATCTGCTATAGAAATGAGGCAATAGTTGTAAATAAAGGAAAGATTTTCTTGGTACTTAACCAATGGAATGAATGCAGGAAGTGCTACAACCACTGGAAATTTTTCAATTAACTGATTGAGGTAGGAATTACATGCATAGCTTTAGTCCTGTAGCTTCCGATGGGTAAAAATAGTTAGTAATTGGCATTTGTGGCAAAGGAAGACTGGCTTTAGGCTGTTTGAGTGAGAGAATTACTAGTAGCGAGTTTTATGTACAGTATTTAGTCAAATTTTGTTGGACAATGTAACTTTATTATCCTTGTAGCCTCTCCCTTCCTATGTACTACATTGATTAAATATTTTATTAAATTTCAGTGATGCAGCCACTGCTGCCCTAAACCATTTTGCTCAAGGAAAGAGGCATTTGGTTGTTGGAGATATTCACTCTGCAGTAAACTCCTTACAGGCAAGTATCATAATGTCTGTGTAGCTCTTTTCATTTTTAAAGTTCAGATCTTCTGTACTATGAAGAACTTGAGGGACAAGAGGCAGTATGTTGTGCTGATCTTACACTACCACATTACTGTGATGGTTATGCCACTCTTAATGTTTTTTGCCACTCTGGAGGACCAGTGTTCTACCATGTGAACTGGTGGTGGATTGTTCTCAGACTACAGCTGAGGTTCCTGCAGTCAGTGTGAAATACTTACTGTAACAGTATAGTAGGTTTTCCACTTAAAACTGTGATTTGATACCAAGATTTAGAACCGGTAACCTATTTTCTAGTCATTAATTACCTTTGATATTCCTGTGACTGTTTGTTTTTCTATCCTCGGCTTGGCCTGAGGGCAGGCTCATGCTGACGGCCTGTTTAGCATGGTAGTTGGTGACTCATTTGAAATTGTCCATCAAGCTTGGTTTAGTGCCTTTCCTCTTGAAAACTGCAAATCATAAGGCTCTAAATTGTAATAACACAATTGCAAACAAATTGCAGAATGCCATGAGTTTTAGGATTCCTGTATACATATTGATATCTAAAAGTGAATCGTCCTAGCAGGGGTGGGGTGGGGGGTGTTAGACCACTGTATGGCAGAAGAGTATAGGAATAGAATGTATTTAGGTTATGGCTTTGTTTTACATCTTTGTAACCACAGGGATAGCTGTGCTCAAGTCTATTCTTCATTATGTTGATATTTTTAATTTAAAATTTAAAATTGATGTAACTTAATTTTTCATTGTTGTATCTCCTATTTGTAAACAATTTTAACCCTTTGACTGTCGCGGCCGTATATATACGTCTTACGAGGTACCGTGTTTGACGTATATATACTCATAAATTCTAGCGGCTTCAAATCAAGCAGGAGAAAGCTGGTAGGCCCACATGTGAGAGAATGGGTCTGTGTGGTCAGTGTGCACCATATAAAAAAAATCCTGGAGCACACAGTGCATAATGAGAAAAAAAAAACTGACCTTATTTTTTTTTTTTAATTAAAATGCCGACTTTGTGGTCTATTTCCGTATAGTATTTATGGTTGTATTCTCATTTTCTTGGTCTCATTTGATAGAATGGAAAACATATTACAGAAGTAGAGGTGATTTTGATTGATTTTACTATAAAAAAAACCTGGAAATGGAGCTCAAAGTTGGCAAAAATCAAACATTTTTCCTATGTTCAAAAGTAAACAAATGATGTCATTGTCCAATAAATGTCCAACTAGCCATTCAAATATGCAGTCATGAATGGGTTGATGTTATTTATACAATTATTACAGTATTGCAGTAGTCTGCATAATAGTAAGTCTTCTATTTTTTGTTTGAATAAAAATTCAAAATAGAAAGCAAGAGTAATATCAGAGGGACCTGGAGACATGACTGATGAATGATGAAAATGTTATTTTAGAGCCACGAATGTCTGCATTGTTCATTCTGGACCTTATTTTGAAATTGTCATATTTTTTTATTTTTCGTGAAATTGGCCAAATTGCAAATTTCGGACCACATTATTGGGTAGTTGAAATCGGTAAATGGGCAGTTTCTTGTACTCAATCGATAGAAAAAATGGAGTTCTAAAGAAATAGCTATGAGTTTGGTCAACTGGAACAATGGAATTAGCTGAAAATAGGGCTCAAAGTGGGCGAAATCGCCGATTTGTAAATATCGCCAAGGTCGCTAACTTCGCGAGAGCATAATTCCGTCAGTTTTCCATCAAATTTCGTTTTTTTGGCGTTTACCTGGAGAGAGTTTCGGGGGTCAACGCCCCCGCGGCCCGGTCTGTGACCAGGCCTCCTGGTGGATCAGCGCCTGATCAACCAGGCTGTTGCTGCTGGCTGCACGCAAACCAACGTACGAGCCACAGCCCGGCTGATCAGGAACTGTCATTTGGCGTCAGGATAACATCGGATAGGCTTGTGTTAATCAAGTTTTGTGGCTCTCATAAAAAATTCATTTTGATCTTCGACTCTGTGTCATTACAATCGGGAAAAGATTCTCTTATTTCATAAGAAATTTTTTTTTTTTTTTTTTTTTTTAAATTTTGCGACACCAGGAGACGCCTCAGGATTGGGGGTTGCGACAGTCAAAGGGTTTATGTGCTAATTTGGCTGTTTTCATAATTTACACCCTTGTAGCCCCTTGTTGAAGGTACTAAAAGTTCTTTTTGTTCTTTCATTTCTAATATCAGCAGCTGCTTATTCTAATTTTGACCTTATATACTTTGGATTTAGTTTTTTTTTTTCAGTCTCCATTTATTTGAAAGCTATTTTATAGTTAGTAAATGTATTTCTCAATTTTTGATGGCAATTATTTTTTTAATTCTTAGATGTTTTTCTTTGTATGTTAGTTTGAAAGTTGATCAATCTATTTTGTGGTCTTAATGTTTAGTATTTTTTTTTTTTTTATTGATATATCCCCACAACAAAATTAAATTTGTTTGCACAAGGTAAATGATTGGAAATGTTTCAGGAGGCATGTAGATTCCTTGCAGAGGAATATGGAGAGACTGCTCCAGAATGTGGCGATGCCTACTTCCACTATGGTAAAGCCTTGTTGGAATTGGCTCGTATGGAGAGTGGAGTATTAGGAAATGCCTTGGATGGAGGTAAGTGTCCAAAAAGTTGTGAAGAAAAACAATACCCCCAAAATATTTGGTCAAACTGAAAATAGAGATTAGTATTTTTTCATTTGTAAGTAGTTTTTCATCCTGATTTTTCAGTACCTGAAGGTGAAGACCTGGAAAATTCCCAGGTAGAGAGTGCAGAAAAAGCAACAGGTAATTAGCAATTGTCAACTTTGCCATTCGGTTTCTACATTTACTATCTTAATGTATTAGTACTGAATATTGAAATTGAGCATATGACAAAACTGGTTTGACTTAAATAAAGTAACTTCATTGAATCACTTCGTAACATAATGGTTAAAAATTTACCCATGGTTGAATAAATGACTAAAACTATTCTACTCGTAAAACTTTAAATTTAAATCAAAACTTAGCAAGTTTGCCCATCTTTTTATTTAGAGGAAGAGTGGGAGATGGTTGCTGAGAAAGTAAGTGAAGCTTTGGAAGAGAACTACGAAAGTTTGGAGGCAAAGGCGAAGACTGAAAAAGGGAAAATTAATGGTGAAATGAAAAAGGAAGTTGGGGCTGAAAGTTTGAATGGAGCACTTTCATTGAATAAGGATTGTTCAAATATGAATGAAGGTATTGTCAAAGGAAATGATCTGACTCGGGGATCAGAAATGAAAGATATTCAGGATAGCAGTGCTGAGAAAGCTAACTTGGAGAAAGAGGAAAGTGAAAAAGAGAAGTTAGAGAATGAGGGTAATGCAGTTAATAAAATTCTTCCTGAAAATGAAAAGTATGTAAATGGAAACTCCAAAGAGGCAGCCATTAAAGTTGAGAATGATGCATCAAATAGCGACATACAGGAAACCAGTGAGAATAGTAAGATTAAAAGTATTTAAAAAACTTAAGTATAAATCTTTGAATACAGAGTAATTTTTATGCAATACTTCATTTGTATGTTGCAATATTTTAGTATTTGTAAGTAATACTGTAGGTATTTACTAACAGAATGTTTGCTGGTTTAGATTTCTTCATAAATGGCTTGTTGGTTTAGTGGTATTTATGTAGAGCAAAACTAACCTTTTTATTTGCCATGGGCATGGAGTTAGTAATCATTTGACAAATTTCTGTTAGAGCATAAAAGTTTTTTAAATAAGTACAGCCTGAGTAAAGCACTTCCAATAATGACATCACTGCCTTAGCACTAGCCATGTGAATGCTTTTGATACAATAAAGATAAGAGGATACTAATTAAATAACATGTGGTTGGGGGGGGGGGGGGGTCAGTTGCTTACTGTGTAAGGAAAGGTATGCCTGGATCACTTTTTCCAGTCACTCGTCCACCTAATTTGACGATTCCTAGTAAAGGGTGAATTGCTAAATGTTGTTTTGAGTATCTTTTAGTCAAAAACTGACACTTGTGGAATATTTTAGCTTGGCATCAGTTGTGCCTGGTAATAAAGATGGAAAGGGAAATGTCACTAAAGCAAATGTAAATAAAAAAAAAATCTATTGTGGCAAGGACCTTGGAATGTTCATTTACTTTAATTTACCAGGATTGTAATTTTTGAAGTCCCTCCTGACAAGATTCCTTTTGTGTTTATAAGCCTTTAAATAGTTACATAAAATGGGAAGGTTTTAAAATTAGATGGCTTTCTTTCCTTGTACATATTGCATCAGATGTTTCCAGAATTACTTACTCCAGGCTCTGTGGTTACCTTTACCATATGCTACTAATAATTTTCACTACTGAACTAGTATCGATAGACTGCGATGCATTTATTGTAGATGTCATCTTGGTAAAATTAAATTTGTATTTTGTAAATATATTTCATCTTGAATTAACTTTTGTGATTATTGGGGGTAAACAATTTCTTTTATTGCAGAAGAAGGAAGCACAGAAGATGAAGAGGAAGAGGATGGGGATGAGGATGGAGAAAGAGATGGAGACTCTCAAGAAGGTGAATCTCAAGATGAAGAGGGAAGCAAAGATGAAAGTAAAAGCCAGGATGAAGGTGAAGGTAAAAAAAAAATTTAACTAATTATTTTGAAGGTAGTAAATTTTTAGCAATCAGGTGTCAAAAGTGGCTACCTGACTTCAGCTTCATTCTTAATGCTGAATACTAACAAAGGCAAGGCTTGCCACTATTGTCATGTGCAAGTATAGGTATGGGCATATCTCACTGATAGAGCTTTTCAGTTTTGTTTTTGGCAGTAGTGCACTAGTGCACATCAATTGACCGGTGCCATTATTTTTGTATAATTTTTTTTTTCTTTGTACTATTGTGCACTTAATAAATGAAAGTAAAAAATTTTTTTAGGCTTTTACAGTGGAACCTCAAAAATCAAACGTATCACTTATCGAACGTTTAGAAAATAGGACCATTTTTTCGGACAAACTGTCCCCATTATCGAACGCGCCCCTATTTTCAGACCGCCGGGCACGGGACCTGTCTGTCATCCGCTCTGTCCGTGTCCCCGTGCAGGCGCCGTGAGCAGTCTAGCTTTGTTTATGCTTGAGTGAACACTAACCTGTGCTTTCATTCACGCATTTTACGATTATTTCATTGTTTAGTGCTTGTGGGACTGTGAAATAAGCTGCCATGGGCCCAAAGAAACTTGCTGGAGGTACCCCTGTGGTAAAGAAAGTGAGAAACACCATAGATGTGAAGAAGGAAATAATACAGAAGTATGAGAGTGTTGTGAGACTTGTTGAGCTTGCCAGGATGTATGGGAAAAACAAGTCTACCATCGGTTCTATCCTGTCAAAGAAAGAACAAATCAAGGAAGCTGATGTTGCGAAAGGTCTTAATATAGGGAATGGATGAGGTGCCGTCTTCAAAGATTAAGGAGATTTGTGCCAAGTGGAATGATGTCCAAATGTTTGTGCAGAAGTACCACCCTGAGCAAGCTGGAAACAAGCCATATTTACAACAAGTTCAGTGACAGAACCATGTCCCATTTTAGGGAAATGTTAGAGGTGCCAGAAACAGAGGACTGTGGACAGTTATTTTGTGAGACAGGGGTCCAGTGACTCTCAAGCTGGTCCTAGTGGCATTAAAAGACAGAGAAGGGAAGTAACCCCAGAGAGGGCTTTACCTGAAGTCCTCATGGAGGGGGATTCTCCTTCCAAACACTAACCCCAACTCCCTCTCTCCTCCCTATATTCCAGATGCCATCACCAGTCTTCAATAAAGGCAACTCTATCCACTCATTTGGGACTTGCAAATGAGTGGATAGTTATCAGAGCTTATTTCTTGTGTAGCATTGAGGACTGGGTTGGGAAAATGTTTCGTTAGTGGGATGAATTGTAAAGGACCTGCCGAGCATGGGCCAACTGGCCTGCTGCAGTGATCCTCCTTTCTTAAGTTCATCAACCACTATCACAACTGCTTCCACTCTACCACCACCATCTTTGTATTTTTCTACAAACTTTTTCATAAATTACGTGTTTCTCGCATTCTTTACCAAAGGGCTGGCACTAGAAGCTTTATTTGGAGCCATGGTAGCTTATTTAGCACTTGCAAGCACTAAAATCAATGGAATATTATGAAATATTTCGTAGGAGCATGTGAGGGGGACCGTCACTCACTGGTAAACAATGGCACACTGGCTGGGAAGGAAAGGCCGAGGCGGCTCAGAGCGTGAGTACACGTCCGGGACGAAGGACTATTAGCGAGTTACCGGACCATTTGCGAGCCAATATTTTGACGAAAAAACAGGACTATTTCCAAAATGGACGACTTTCAGGCCGGACGATTATTGAGGGACCACTGTAGTATTAAATTCATTTGAATAGCCTCGTCTGAATGGCTGTTGCTTCCTAGAGACAGACTATGACCCATAAGTTCAGTTTGTGTACCAATTTGTCAGTGTGTACACTTATTTGTGAAATTTTACCAATTTGTTAAATGTGGAATCAGAGCCAGAGATTACCGAGAATGCCATGTCTGATAGGCTTTCAGTTCTGAAACTAATCAAAATTGTCATTCTGTAATAAATCTTCCATTCTATCAAATGAGACCAAGAAACTGAGAATTTTTTTTTTTTTTTTTTTTTCAAAAAGTTGGTCGTCTCCCACCGAGGCAGGGTGACCCAAAAAAGAAAGAAAATCCCCAAAAAGAAAATACTTTCATCATCATTCAACACTTTCACCACACTCGCACATTATCACTGTTTTTGCAGAGGTGCTCAGAATACAACAGTCTAGAAGCATACACATATAAAGATACACAACATATCCCTCCAAACTGCCAATATCCCAAACCCCTCCTTTAAAGTGCAGGCATTGTACTTCCCATTTCCAGGACTCGAGTCCGACTATATGAAAATAACCGGTTTCCCTGAATCCCTTCAGTAAATATTACCCTGCTCACACTCCAACAGATCGTCAGGTCCCAAGTACCATTCGTCTCCATTCACTCCTATCTAACACGCTCACGCACGCTTGCTGGAAGTCCAAGCCCCTTGCCCACAAAACCTCCTTTACCCCCTCTCTCCAACCCTTTCGAGGATGACCCCTACCCCGCCTTCCTTCCCCTAAAGATTTATATGCTTTCCATGTCATTCTACTTTGATCCATTCTCTCTAAATGACCAAACCACCTCAACAACCCCTCTTCTGCCCTCTGACTAATACTTTTATTAACTCCACACCTTCTCCTAATTTCCACACTCCGAATTTTCTGCATAATATTTACATCACACATTGCCCTTAAACAGGACATCTCCACTGCCTCCAACCGTCTCCTCGCTGCTGCATTTACCACCCAAGCTTCACACCCATATAAGAGTGTTGGTACTACTATACTTTCATACATTCCCTTCTTTGCCTCCATAGATAACGTTTTTTGACTCCACATATACCTCAATGCACCACTCACCTTTTTTCCCTCCTCAATTCTATGGTTAACTGAGAATACAACCATTGAAACCATATGAAATACGCTGCACAGTTGCTGCTTTAAACCAAAAACATGGTTGCTGTTTTTTCTCATGCTGCAGGATTTTTTATATGGTGCACACTTATTGCATAACCTCATTCTCTCATATCTAGTCCCAAATTTACTGCTTACAGCTTATGAGCTGAGCTCATGGCGTTTTATTACAAGACCGACACTAGCTGTAAAGCAGTGATACATCAGGGCCAACATTGAAAGGGGTTAAACTGCAGTAGAAACTTGTGCTGTATTATTCCTATCACATGCCCTGAGGTACAGAGATGCGGGATACATTTTGGATTTCAAATACACCTAATTATACTAGTACAGTGGACCCCCGGTTTACGATATTATTTCATTCCAGAAGTATGTTCAGGTGCCATTACTGAACGAATTTGTTCCCATAAGGAATATTGTGCATTAGATTAGTCCATTTCAGACCCCCAAACATACACGTACAAACGCACTTACATAAATACACTTACGTAATTGGTCACATTGGGAGCTGATCGTAAAGCGGGGGTCCACTGTATTTGCTAGTACTGTAGCTACTAAGCATTTAAGGGCTGGTTAATCTTTAGTTTGTAGCACAACTGGAATGTTTAGAAATATTTTGTAATTGTCAAATTGACATTTTAAATTCTTCAATGGTTCTTATATTGATATTATACAGGCATGAGTATGCATGTATTTTCAAAAGCATTTTTAACGACTTTAAACCTTATTCTAGGTGAGAAGACTGAGGAAGATGAAGAGGAAGTGTCTAACTTGCAACTGGCATGGGAAATGCTGGAGCTAGCCAAAGTTATATTCAAAAAGTAGGTTTGGGTCTTTATGCTGGGGGATACCAGTTTGAAGGCTTGAAATTTGAATGTTATTTATGTTGATTTTCTTTAAATATTTGAGTTATTTAATTTTCAGAGGAAACTTAAGTATCTTGATGGGATTGAAAGGCAGCTTAATGAAACTTATGGTAACCTATAATGACTAAGTCCTTTATGAAATTTCAACCAGAATTTCCATACCTTAATGAACTATAGAATAGTATTGCTTTTCTTTATATTCCAGACAAGAAGACTCGAATCCTGAAATGATAAAGAAAGTAGCACAAGTGTACTTAAAGCTTGGAGAAGTTGGCTTAGAGAGTGAAAACTATGCTCAGGGTATTGAAGACTTCAAACAGTGCTTAGAGATACAAGTAAGAAATCGTTAATACAAGTCTTGAGTAGCAATCTTGAGAAAATTAAACTAGTGGTTTTGTTAAATGCCTTGCATTGTCCATGAAATAAGAATCTTTTCAGCAGTTTCATTAAGATTTATGTCTTAAGTGCAGGCATAGTACAGGGTGATAAATTACACTTGTGCAACACTCTAGTATCTTTGTGGAAATATTTTGCCAACCAGTGGCTTCCTCGGCCAATACAGAAAAGAAAGGTTGAAAATCAGGTGTAGTTTGAGGTAATTGGTCCCTCAGCCTTGAGTCAATGTGGTCAGTCCATCAATCTTGATACTCTAATTTATCAACTTTACACTTACCTATACTCTTTCCCTGCCATTCTTTTTTTTTTTTTTTCTCCCCCCCCCCAACAAGTCGGTCGTCTCCCACCGAGGCAGGGTGACCCAAAAAAGAAAGAAAATCCCCAAAAAGAAAATACTTTCATCATCATTCAACACTTTCACCACACTCACACATTATCACTGCTTTTGCAGAGGTGCTCAGAATATAACAGTTTAGAAGCATATACGTATAGAGATACACAACATATCCCTCCAAACTGCCAATATCCCAAACCCCTCCTTTAAAGTGCAGGCATTGTACTTCCATTTCCAGGACTAAAGTCCGACTATATGAAAATAACCGGTTTCCCTGAATCCCTTCACTAAATATTACCCTGCTCACACTCCAACAGATCGTCAGGTCCCAAGTATCATTCGTCTCCATTCACTCCTATCTAACACGCTCTGCACGCTTGCTGGAAGCCCAAGCCCTCACCCCAAAACCCTCCTTTACCCCTCTTTCCAACCCTTTCGAGGACGACCTTACCCCTCTTTCCTTCCCTATAGATTTATATGCTTTCCATGTCATTCTACTTTGATCCATTCTCTCTAAATGACCAAACCACCTCAACAACCCCTCTTCTCCCCTCTGACTAATGCTTTTATTAACTCCACACCTTCTCCTAATTTCCACACCCCGAATTTTCTGCATAATTTTACACCACACATTGCCCTTAGACAGGACATCTCCCACTGCCCCCAAACCCGGGTCTCCTCGCTGCTGCATTTACCACCCAAGCTTCACATCCATATAAGAGTGTTGGTACTACTATACTTTATACTTTCCCCTTCTTTGCCTCCATAGATAACGTTTTTTGACTCCACATTTTACCTCAACGCACCACTCACCTTTTTTCCCTCATCAATTCTATGTTTAACCTCATCCTTCAAAAATCCATCCGCCGACACGTCAACTCCCAAGTATCTGAAAACATTCACTTCTTCCATACTCCTCCTCCCCAATTTGATATCCAATTTTTCTTTATCTAAATCATTTGATACCCTCATCACCTTACTCTTTTCTTGTTCACTTTCCCAACTTTCTCCCTTTACACACATTCTCAAATCATCCACTAACCTTTGAAAATTTTTCTTTAGAATCTCCCATAAGCACAGTTCATCAGCAAAAAGTAACTGTGTCAATTCCCAAATTTTGAATTTGATTCCCCATAATTTAATCCCACCCCTCCCGAACACCCTAGCATTTACTTCTTTTACAACCCCATCTATAAATATATTAAACAACCATGGTGACATTACACATCCTGTCTAAGACCTACTTTTCCCGGGGAAAGTATTCTCCTCTTTTCACACACCCTAACCTGAGCCTCACTACCCTCATAAAAGCTCTTTACAGCATTTAGAAAATTACACCTATTCATAACCTTGCAACATCTGCCACATTGCTCCTCTATCCACTCTATCATATGCCTTTTCTAAATCCATAAATGCAAAAAAAAACTTCCCTCCCTTTTATCTAAATACTGTTCACATTTTATGCTTCAAGGGAAACACTTGATCTACACATCCCTACCCACTCTGAAACCTCCTTTGTTCGTCCGCAATTCTACATTCTGTCTTACCTCTAATTCTTTCAATTATAACCTCCCGTATACTTTTCCTGGTATACTCAGTAAACTTATTCCTCTATAATTTTTACAATCTCTTTGTCCCCTTTCCCTTTATTTTAAAGGGACTATACATGCTCTCTCCCAATCCCTAGGTACCTTCCCCTCTTTCATAATACAGTATATTAAACAAAAGTCCCAACCACTCCAACACTATATCCCCCCTGCTTTTTAACATTTCTGTCATGATCCCATCATTTCCCCAGCTGCTTTACCCCCTTTCATTCTACGTAATGCCTCACGTACCTCCACACACTTACAGTATGCTCTTCTTCACTCCTAAAAGATGGTATACCCCCCTGACCAGTGCATAAAAATTACCGCCTCCCTTTCTTCCTTAACATTTAAAATTTTCCTCAAAATATTCTGCCATCTACCTAATACCTCCCTCTCCCCATCTACTAACTCCCCTACTCGTTTTTAACTGACAAATCCATACTTTTCCCTAGGCTTTCTTAATTTGTTTAACTACTCCAAAATTTTTTCTTATTTTCATTAAAATTTCTTGACAGTGCCTCCCCCACTCTTTCATCTGCTCCCCTTTGCACTCTCTCACCACTCTCTTCACCTTTCTTTTACTCTCCATTTTACTCTGCTCTTCTTATAACACTTCTGCTTTGTAAAAACCTCTCGTAAGCTACCTTTTTCTTTTTATCCACCCTTTACTTCATCATTCCACAATCATCCTCTTCTCCTGCCCCACCCTCCTATAACCACAAATTCTGCCCCACATTCTAATACTGCATTTTTAAAACTATTCCAACCCTCTTCAACCCCCCCACTACTCATCTTTGCACTAGCCCACCCTTTTTGCCAATAGTCGCTTATACTCGCCCTAACTTCCCTCTCCCTTAGTTTATACACTTTCACCTCCCCTTACTTGTTGTTGCCACCTTCCTCTTTTCCCATCTACCTCTTTTCTAACTGTAGCTACAACTAAATAATGATCCGATATATCAGTTGCCCCTCTATAAACATGTACGTCCTGGAGCCTACCCATCAACCTTTTATCCACCAATACATAATCTAACAAACTACTTTCATTACGTGCTACATCATACCTGTATATTTATTTATCCTCTTTTTCATAAAATATGTATTACTTATTACCAAATTTCTTTCTACACATAGCTCCCAAATTTAAAAGGGTCCCCCTTTACATTTTTCCCCTGGCACCCCAAATTACCTACTACTCCCTCCATAACATTTTTACCCACTTTAGCATTGAAAAACCCCAACCACCATTACTCTCACACTTGATTCAAACTCCCCACGCATTCACTCAACATTTCCCAAAATCTCTCTCTCTCCTCTACACTTCTCTCTTCTCCAGGTGCATACACGCTTACTATAACCCCCTTTTCAATCCAATCTTTATTTTACTCCACATAATCCTTGAATTTATACATTGTAGTCCCTCTTTTCCTGCCATAGCTTTTCCTTCAACATTATTGCTACTCCTTCTTTAGCCTAACTCATTTTAAACCCCTGACCTAATCCATTTATTCCTCTCCATTGAAACTCTCCCACCCCCTTCAGCTTTGTTTTTACTTAAAGCCAGGACATCCAGTTTCTTCTCATTCAAACATCCACAATCATCTCTTTCTTATCATTTGCACAACATCCACGCACATTCAGACTTCCCCCTTTGACAAATTTTTTCTTATTCTTTTTAGTAATCTTTACAGGAAAAGGGGTTACTAGCCCATTGTTCCCCGGGATTTTAGTTGACTTTTACAAAAACGCATGGCTTACGGAGGAAAGATTCTTATTCCACTTCCCCATGGATATAAAAGGAAAAGTAATAAGACCAAGAACTATTAAGATAAAATCAAAGAAAACTCAGATGAGTGTGTATAAATAAACGTGTCCATGTATGTGTAGTGTGACCTAAGTGTAAGTAGAAGTAGCAAGACGTACCTGTAATCTTGCATATTTATGAGACAGACAAAAGACACCAGCAATCCTACCATCATGTAAAACAATTACAGGCTTACGTTTTACACTCACTTCGCAGGACGGTAGTACCTCCCTGGGTGGTTGCTGTCTACCAACCTACTACCATATAAATGCAGGGCCAAACTTTTCCATTTTGCCTGCACACAGACGTTATTGTATTACTAGCTTTGATTTGCACTTGCCTAACCGTTCTGTTAGCTATACACTTGTTCATGATTAAGCTGTCTTCCGTTAACCATTGGCTAAAAATTTTTTATTGCTGCAGGATCTACCTAAAGTTTGTCTAGTTAGTTAGTAATTACTAAAAGCCTGTAAAATATTCTGAATAAAAGCTTCAGTACTTGCCATATCCCCCACTTTTTTTTTTTCTTTTCTCCCTTTCCTTTCTTATTAACATGCTTGAATAGGCTGAAGACTGTATACAAAGGCAAGTAAATTTTTTTATATATACTATTCATTAAGCACATGTGGAATGATGAGCAAGAGTGTCTTTGTCCTTTTGTACAATATATGGTAAAAGGTAACGGGTGTTTATCTTAAACTTTTTAATAAACCATTCAGGAAAAACACCTTGAAGAGGACGACAGATGTTTGGCAGAAACTCATTATCATCTTGGTGTTGCCCATTCTTTTTCTGATGATTTTGACAAAGCTGTAGAAAGCTTCCAGGCAGCAGTCAAAGTGATCGATTTGAGGATCTGCAACCTTAATAAAAGGATAAAAGAAAAGGAAGACTGGACAGAAGAACAAAAGAAAAAAGATGGTAAGCTATGTAATTTCTGCTAGTGCTTTAACCCGTAAACGGTCCAAGCAGATCTCCGTTCACATGTGTAGTGCTATAAAAGTAGATATACGTTTTTTTTTTTTTTTTTTTTTTACACATTTTCAAATGTAACAAAAAAAAAAAATCTACTTTTTTACATACTTTCAAATGTTGAAAAAACGTATATATACGTTTGGACCATTCACGGGTTAACTACTAGTAATGTCCTGTTCGTCCTGTCAGCACAATCTTTCAGAAATTAATTTCTTTAAACTAAGCTAGAAGGAATATTTGAGTTGCTAAATCTTCATACTGAATGAGAGGTAGTACTTTGCCTCTTTCACTGGACTGTAATAAGGTATGGTAGATGAAAGGAAGAGTTGGAAGAGTGCAGTTCTTTGGTGTGATGTCTGCATCCTTCTGGTAAGACAGCTAGTAAATGATGGCTAGATTAAAAAAAAAATCCCTCCCCTCATGATTACCTACAATAAAAAATGCATGTTAGGTGCAATTTTAAAATATCAACTTTTTTTTTTCTTTTTCATTTTTTTTTTCTTTGTTAAATTGCCTTTGCATGAGTGTTCAGGAAGAAAAATTGTCCTGCCTCAAGATACTTCAAAATAATGGAAAGTGTTCATGTTTTCTTTAGTGACTTTTTATTTCAGCTGCTGAAAGACCAGACCCATTTTACACAGAGCAAGGAGAAATTGACGAACTAAATAAACTTTTGCCAGAAATAAAGGAAAAAATAATAGACATGGAGGAAATGAAGAAAGACACTAAGGAGAAGTTGCAGAAGGCAGCCAAGGTTTGTTGACTCGTAGCATAGACAACAGTTTAGACAATTCTGCAGCACCTAATGGATAGGTGGTAACTCTAAATAGGTTAGTTGGAAATTTATTAAATACTGTGAAGAAAGATGGCGCAAGTTTAGCATCTATGTGAAGAATCTTGAAACTGAATATTTGACTATAATAGTTGAAAATGTAAATATTTCTACAGACTTGGATTGCCTTCAGCCTTCATGAATGTCATCTTTAATTACTAAGCCCTTCACAAAATTTAATACAAATTCTGAAAATATTAAATCTAACAATTCATTTATGGGACAGTTATCTCTTGTCCCCCACAGTCTTTCTTTAGGAAGATCTGCCTTACCTTCATTGCATGTGTAACTGATCTAAACTTGCTTGCTATTTTCCTTTGCCAAAGTCAGTGATAATAAAAATGTCAGATTTCCATATTCTTGCTGCCCATTAGTTTTAGTTACTGAACCTGAGAATTGTGCAGAGTTCTAGTATACTGTAATATTTGCATAATGTGGTCTTTGTTGATTAATATTAATTGGAGAAATCAATGTAACTGAAAAATGTAGATAATTACAGTAACTGCATACTAAACCACCTTGCCTCATTAAAGTATTTTTAATCCCTGCCAACAGTCTACTGATGGTGTGGTAAGTATACCTTCATAAATTTCTTAAATTTTTTTTTTTATAAGGAGAGCTATTAAAGAAAATTATCCAGTAGGCTTTGATTAGACCCCATGAGTGTAGAAAGAAAAAACTGAAATTATTATTGTAATGGTATGTAATCTTGTATAGAAAGGTGATAAAAGGTAGGACTGTTATTCAAGAGTATGAAGGAAGTGAATACTCTGAAGCGGCTAAACAAATTATAAAAGATTGTGGATAGAAATGTATAAACTTGGGCTTCACACCCCTAAATAAAAATCGAGACACTGGAGGCATTTGGCAAATGCTTGAAGAAAGTGCCTCTTCAAGGGGGGCTCCTTGGCGTGGTGAAGAGGCTCTTGGTCTGAGGAATTAGCCCTGTCGGTCTTCTTCCTCAGACCGAACCTAATTACCCCCCATTCTCCCCTCCCCTATCCCATCCTCCCCTTTTTCCATTCTCCTCCTCCTCCTCACCCCTCCCTTTTGCCCTTCCTCTTTTTGGCCTTTGGGATTTCTCCCACAGGCACGCTAGTTCCTAGGTAGGGGAAAGGACACCGGGGTCCATCCCATTCCGTTGAGGTTCTTGGCGGTGGCGTAGTTTGCCGTGGAATCTGGATTGCCTGGGGATGTCCCGATCCCTCTCCGGTATCCCGGAGTAGCTTTGGGTGTCTTTCGGGCGACGGGTGTATCTCTGGAAGCCACCTTTCGGATTCCGGGGGTGGTGGCCGAAGGAGGTATGCTTTATGGCGGATATCCGGCCGCCCTCTCTTTTGTCCACCGAGGTAGCTCGGCAGATGTGAGGTTGCTATCCCGGATTGCTGGTTTACTGGCATGAAGGGTAGGGTATGGCACGGATTCCATGCTGCATCTGCGCTACTAGCGGTGCTGAGGTCCTCTTGGGCGCGGAGGGAGATTACCGGCCCTTTCATTCCTCCTGGGAACTATTCCTCCCCGCTCCCCCCTTTTTTTTATTCTTTTTTTTTTATTTTTATTTTATTTTCTTTTTTTTTTTTTTCTTAAAAACAAAAAGCAAAGGAGTAACCTAACCATGGCAGCCCTAGTCCATGAACCCACTACCCCTGGGCCCCTTCTTGATACCACACCCCATTCTGACCCTGCCTTGTGTTTAGACCACTCTTCGGACACTCCTGATGCCCCTGTACCTCTTGCTGGTGCTGTTTCCTCACCCGCTTCAGGTACCGGGGCTTTGACTGACTCCTTCGATTTGTCTGAACTCCGCTCTCCTTTGACTATGCTTCCGGCTTCTCCCTCTACGGTACGGCAATTTTCGAATCGCCCACCCATTTCACGCCGGACCAACTCCGGTCCTACTCCTAAACGCCAACGTCAATCTCCTGATGCTCCTTCGTTACCTTCCCATTCTACTCGGAAAAGACCGACACGTCAAGCACTCCCTCTCCACGCTCAGTTTCGGACCACACAATGGACTAAATTCTTTACTTTAAGACCGACTTCTTCTGCCTACCTTTCTGACCATAGTATTGGCAAAGCACTCCTGTGTCATGTTGGCAGAGATATTTCATTTCATGCGCTCAAGAGCGGTACGCGCATCGTCACTGTCCAGAATGCTACCCAAGCTCATGATCTTTCTCTACTTTCGAATATCGATACTACTCCTATCACTATTGAAAAACATCTCTCAATTCTTGTAGTGGTATTGTCATTCTGCCCCATACCATAGTCCAACAGAATTTTCAGTCCTGTGGCAATGACATTTTTGAACAGCTGGAACTCCAGGATCTCCCAATCTTCAAAGTAGACACTTATGTCCTTCCTGCCCGGGGGCGGAGATGTTACCCTTGCAATGTGGCTCGTTTAACTTTTGACAGCCGAGAACTCCCGTCCTCTGTATATGTCGCGGGACATCGGTTACAAGTTCGAAAGGTGATACCTACACGGCAACAATGTAGAAATTGCTGGCGTTTTGGTCACCCAGCGAAATATTGTAGATCTATGGCCGAATGCCCAGTCTGTGGTGCCGACGACCATTCTAATACATCTTGCAGTCAACCTCCATCTTGCCTTAATTGTAATGAAGCTCACCCTTCGTACTTCCGCCGTTGCCAGGTCTACTTAAATGAACGTGAAATCCGTTGCCTCAAAGAGGCAGAAGGTCTCCCTTATGCTATGGCAGTTACTCATCTCCGCCTCCAAGGGAGACTACCCCGTGTTTCTTATTCTCGTGTTTCCAAACATCCCCCCACTTCTGGGGTCCCATCTTCTGCAGCCTCCTCTGTTGTTACCCCTCCCATAGCCGCTCCGGCATCTAATCCTTTTGCTGTCCTTGGCTCTGACGTCCCGACTACAACTCGGTCTGTTCTCGCATCTTCGCGTCCTTCCTCACAAGCCCCAGTATCGACAAGACCTCGTACGACACGTAATACCAATCGCCCCTCTACTCAGAAGTCCAAAAAATCCACATTGCTCAAATCTTCTTTGCCCCTTCCTTCCCTTCTTCCACCTCCACACTTTACCTTTCCAGTCTCTGTACCTAGTTCTTCCCCTCTCTCTGGCTCTATTACAAGTGTGGAGATTCACCCTCCTCCTCGTTCTATGCCTTCCACCCCCGTCCCCTCCCAAGTTTCTCCCTCTTCTGCCACCTCCCAGGTTTCTGCCTCTTCTGTCCCCCTCCCCCCCCCACACTTTATCTCCAGTCCCTTACACTCTTCCCTCCCCCTCTACTTTGGTACAGTCCATTACTGTCCCAATCTTTACTCACCCTCCTCCTTCTATCTCCAATATGGTCCCCCATACATCTTTGAATTCAGAAACACTTGAAGCCATTTCAGAATATATTGCAGACTAAACCTTCAATGGACACTGATTCACTTCCTGTTCCTTCTCTTCCCTCTCCTCCATCTTCACAACCCCATTCTTCGCAACGCTCCGTTCCTTCGCTACTTGAACGCCTTCCAATGCCACCACACGTTGACTTTTCTAACCCCTCTAGTCCGTAGGTGCCTTTACCTACAGAATCCTGATATTTTCTTCATCGCCAATCATGGCCTGTTTACAGTGGAATATCCGCATCCTCGGGTAATCGGGGTGAGCTTCAGATGTTGCTTTCCAGGTTTTCCCCTGTTGGTGCTTGCTTACAAGAACCAAAATTACACAAGGCTGTTTTCCAACCTATCTCGGGCTATAATTTATTGTATTCTTCGGATCCTTTCTCAGATGGGACCTTTAATGAAAGTGCCCTTCTTCTACGCAATGATATTCCGTACTGTCAACTATTTGTCCATACCTCGCTGCATTACACTGCAGCCCGTATCCACTTGAATAAGTGGTTTACAATATGTTCTTTATATATCTCTCCTTCTCGAGCATTTTCTATCCCAGACTTTGCCTTTCTTGTTTCATCCTTACCACCACCACTTCTGTTACATGGTGATTTTAATGCCCACCATATCCTCTGGGGGGGTCTCATTGTGACTCACGTGGCATCCAGTTGGAGGCTTTTCTCGCCTCTTACCCCCTCCATGTTTTAAATACGGGTACTCCCACCCATTTTGATCCTCGTACCCATACTCTCTCTTGCATCGATCTATCAGTCTGCTCTTCCTCCACTGCACTAGACTTCACCTGGTCTGTTCTACCAGACTTGCATGACAGCGATCATTTTCCGATCATTCTTTCTTCTCCTTCCTATTCACCACCTTTCCGTAGCCCTCGCTGGCAATTTGATCGGGCAAATTGGGATCTTTACTCACACCTCACTGCTTTTAGTGAGGTTCCTTCTTCATCCTCCATTGATGAGCTCCTACACATCTTCTCGATATCAGTTTATACTGCAGCTTCTCATTCTATACCCCAAACCTCAGGCAGGCATTCTCAGAAGTGCGGCCTTGGTGGTCTCCTGTTTGTGCTCGTGCAGTACGTTTGAAACGTGCTGCATGGGGCAGGTACCGGTACAGTAGAACCGCTGAGAGACTTCTTGATTTTAAGCAGAAGCGTGCGATCGCTCGCCGTGTCATCCGTGAAGCTAAACGCACTTGTTGGCGAGACTGTTTCCACCATCACCTCTGCTTCTTCTATGAGTGCAGTCTGGAAAAAAGTGAGGAAATTGAGTGGTAAATACTATCCTGACCCGGCTCCTGTTCTACAGGTCGCTGGTGTTGATGTAGCAAACCCTCTTGACGTTGCCATTGAACTTTGCACACATCTGGTCCGTATTTCCCGAGGGCTCCATCTATGCCCCTCGTTTCTTTCCTCGAAGTCTGCCAGAGAGTTAGTACCCTTGGACTTTTCTTCTTTTAGGGAAGAACAGTATAATGTGCCTTTTACACTTCAAGAACTGGAGGCAACGCTCTCAGCTTGCCGATCATCGGCAGCTGGGCCTGACGACATTCATATTCGTATGTTAAAACATTTACATCGGTCAGCATCTCTATGGCTCCCGTATCCCCGAACGTGATACAGTCAGGTTTCTAGGCCTTCTCCTTGACCGTCGGTTATCCTGGAAACCTCACATTATCTCTCTGAAGGCAACTTGTCACAGCCGGCTAAACCTTCTTAAAACCCTTGCTCGTCTTTCCTGGGGAGCTGATCGTCGAACTCTGCTTCGCCTACATTCAGCCCTCGTTTTATCGAAACTCGATAATGGTGACCAGATTTATTCCGCGGCCTCTCCTGCTACTCTCTCTAGCCTTAACTCTATCCATCACCAAGGATTACGTTTGTGCCTTGGTGCTTTTCGCTCTTCCCCTGTTGAGAGCCTCTATACAGAAGCAAATGTTCCATGTCTGATCGCCATGATGCCCATTGCCTTCGCTACTATGTACGCTCTCACAATCTACACAATCCTTCCATTTATAGAATGGTCACCGATATTAGTAGACATTCTTTATTCGTTCGCCGCCCCTGTTTGCTCCGTCCCTTTTCTCTTCGCCTACATTCACTCTTGTCTTCCCTTCAGTTACCACCTTTATATGTTCATGTAGCATCTCACTTTTCCCTACCCCCCCTGGGAAGTTCCAGCTGTT